GTGGCGCAGTGGTTTGGCGCCTGCCTTTGGCCCAGGGCGCGATCCTGGAGACCCAGGATCGAATCCCACGTCGGGCTCCCAGTGCATGGAGCCTGCTTCTCCCTCTGCCTGTGTCTCTGCCTCTCTCTCTCTCTCTGTGACTATCATAAATAAATAAAAAAATTAAAAAAAAATAAAAGTTAAAACAAGTTTTCACTTTCACATACTCCTATGGGAAGAAGAGCAGAGTTTACAGAATGGTCCCCTGGGAAGAGCAGATCGGGAGTTAACAAAGGAATGCAGACCTTAAGAAACATTCCTTCTAATAATTGTTTTTGCTAATAACCTGTTACAGGTCCTAAATTTCTCAGCCTTAAACCCACCTTACTAAGCACACTTCAACAACAACAACAAAAGTAGGAAGTTTCTGGTAAATATTCACCCAGGAGTCTAGCTTATGTTTTTAAAGTTATTATTTTGTTTATTCTCTTTCAAACCCTAAAATGCTGGTTGTAGGTAGGTCAGCAGCCCTAACCTTTTCCTGAGAGGGATTTTTCCTTTCCCACTAGGGGGAGTCAGCTGTTGATGGTGGGAGGGAAAAATAGAGGTGAATACCCTGGAGTGGAGAGTCCGACAGCAATGAAGCTGTCTCAGCAAGCCAGGCTTTCAGAACTACCCTGTCAGGAATCAGAATCTAGGACTTAGACTGCCCTATGTAGATCACAGGCTTGACAAGATCACTTTGAGGGGGGGGGGGACTTCTGTGGCTTGGCTCCATGGGAATTTATGTGTACGGCATCTCTAGTTAAGGATAAACCACGGGTAAAAAAAAAAAAAAAAAAAAAGGAGGAAGTGGAAAACCCACAAAAGAGGCAAACAGGACTAGTGACTTTTAGCAAACTTAGAACTTTCTGAATATATAAAACTAAGAAACAGATACTTTAAACTTTCTTTCAGTTTACTGATTTTAATATCAATGGTTTTCTGGCCTTAGATGTTTTGCTCAATCCAGCATAAAGCACTTCTATATTTGGTCTAACAAAAGAGAAGTAAAATACCAACAGCCTTGAGTGAAGGTCACAATTTCTAAATAACTGAAACCTCAAGATTTTATTTTTTTTTAATTTTTATTTATTTATGATAGTCACAGAGAGAGAGAGAGAGAGAGAGAGAGAGAGAGAGAGAGAGAGGGAGGCAAAGACATAGGCAGAGGGAGAAGCAGGCTCCATGCACCAGGAGCCCGATGTGGGATTCGATCCCGGGTCTCCAGGATTGCGCCCTGGGCCAAAGGCAGGCGCCAAACCGCTGCGCCACCCAGGGATCCCCAAACCTCAAGATTTTAAAGCCTTCTTAGGTTTTTCTCAAAACAATGTTTTAAGGGCACCTGGGTGGCTCAGTTGGTTAAGCATCCAACTCTTGATTTTGGCTCAAGTCAAGATCTCAGGGTTGTGAGATCCCAAATGGAGCCTGTGGAGAGTCTGCTTGAGAGTTTTTTTTTCCCTCCCCTCCTCTCTAAAATAAATAAATAAATAAATAAATCTTAAAAACAAAAAACCTAACAGCTAAATGTTTTAAATACCCAGTTTTTAGCATGAGCTTCCCTACTCGGCCCAATGATTAAGTGGTTTAGTTTATAGGAACCTCTATAAAATAGGATGTTACTCCTATACGATAATGATGACAATCTAGGGGAAAATATATGAATGAGACTCTGCCCTACATTTGGCAACATGGAAATGTTCATTAATCATATGCCAGGAAAAAACCCAAAAGTAAACGAGGGCCTTAAAGCAGTGTATTAAGCACGTTTAAGACACAATGGAAGTGTGATAAAACACCACAACACACTCAGCCTCACAGGGCCTTCATCTTCCCATGTGTGAAAATACAGGTCCTGCTCTAGCATCTAAACAATAGAATTTTATTCAGCCTTAAAAAGGAATTACATACACTCTACAATGCGGATGAACCTTGAACACAGACTAAGCTGGACACACAAGACCAGACTGTAGGAATTCCATCTCAATGAAACGTCCAGAATGGGCAAATCCAGAGAAACACAGTAGATTAGTGGCCGCCAGGGACCGGGGGAGAGAGGGAAAATGGGGAATGACTGCTTATGGGCATGGGGTTTCTTTTTGAGATGATGAAAATGTTCTGGAATTAGCTAGCAGTGATGGCCCCACACCCTGGTGAATGCAGTGGAAGCCACTAAACTGCGCCCCCGTGAATTCTATCACTTAAAAAGGGGGAAAGAAAAAAAGCCTATCTCTAAGGACCTTTCCAGGTCTAAAACTACTCTAGCAGAACCACTAGATTCCCTTACCATTGCTCCATTAAAAAGATGCCTATCACACAGATTGCTGTGATTCTGTGGGCAATTAGAGCAGGATATCACCTAAGCAAAAGAAACCCATACAATCCAAAGATTTGGTTTCCAGAAACATGCTGGCTCTAATTTTTTTTTTTTTTTTTTTTTTAGCCAAGAGGTCCTAACGAGTAACTAGAGCCCTGAGAACACCCTGTGTACAATTATTTTTATAAGGACTTCAGGAAACTCAGCTTGGACTCAAGCAAAACTGTCACCTCACAGCCCATTCCCACCTAAAGGGCTGTTCTAATGAAAGCACAGTGTTGTTCAAACTCTTCTTGCCTAGGATCAGAGGAGATGGGAGTCCGTGAAAGCACTGAGCATACTGCCTACCACGGTCAATACACACACACCGAGAAATTCAACTTAGCAATTAATCTACTACTCTGATTTCTCCACCTATTACCAATTACCTCACTTCAGTTCCGAAGATTCCACTATACCCAGAATTTGAACTTGGGCCGTGCATAGTTAATCACAAACTATTTAGCTTCTCTTTGGTAATAACTCCAAACCACAAGGACAAGGAAGAGGGATAGTTCAGCACAAAACATGTCTGATGAAACAGGCCACGCTACGTTACTGCCATCAAATATTTATAACTACCTTTAGGCACAGAGTACTCTAACGTGCCAGACAACTAACTCTGCAAAGAAATGGGCATTAAAATAACCCCAAACTGTGTAACTCTGTAAGCAGCCACTTGCACAGGGGAAGTAATGACTTTTAAATGCTGGCTTAATTGTAAATTAACTCCCATTAGTCAGGCCCCTCAGACCAGACCATACCATTCCACCCCCACCCCCCCACTCGATACACATCGCTTCATCAAGGAAAGCCATCCCTACCAAGTTTTCTGGGTATGAAAAAGTAGGCAGGCTATTTGGTCAAGACCAAACACAGAATATGTAAAACAACAAAACACCCCGGCTTTCTAAATTTTTATGACCGTGAGAAAAAGTACATTCAACTTTACGTGGTTAAGGCCTCTCTGTATCGGTATCTAATTTTAGACGGGACCCTGAATCCAGCCAACTCCACGATAACACATTGGTGCGAAGACACGGCCTTTAGTTCCAACAGCACCGGCGTGCGTGCTACCAGTCCTGCGGAAGGTATCCCGGTCACCATTAAATAAGCACACCGGTCTCACCGAGACATATCCCTGCTGGTAAACTCGCCCCACTCAGGCCTCCACGGGGCCCTCAAACCCGCAGCAGCAGCGCGCGAACACCTGCAGACTGTGGCAGCACCTCGGGTTCCTGCGCCCGGTCCCGAGTCCTAGCTCCACCCAACGACGCCAGTCATCCCGCCGCGGGCCTGATTTCAGGAGGTACAACCCGGCCAGCCTTCCGCCTCCCACTTCACCGGTTCCTCCCAATCGTTAACGGGCCCTTCACTCAAGGGTCATCGCACCTTGAGGCTCCACCCCGCCCTGACCACGGCCCTGCGGTAACCAGGGGGAGGGGAGGGTCCTGCGAGTCAGGCCAGGCACGGAGGGTGACCCTCCCAGTGTTGGACTTCAGCAGCCGCGGGAGGGGAGGATCGTCCTCGTCGATCTACCATCGCGGCAACTTAACGAGAGCGTGTGACTGAAACAACAGGACACCGACAAGGGGAAGAAGAAAGAAATCCAGCTTGTGTGTGTGTGTGTGTGTGTGTGTCTGGTAAAGTGAAACAGAGAGGCCTTAAAACACGCAAGTAGGTCCCTTTCGCCCCAGTTCTTTCCTCTGGGTTTCTAGAATCTTTCTCTTCACTACCCACTAGAGAGGGCACCGACGCCAGGTGCCCGATCGTGCCCCTTAGTGACAAACGTCCCCAGCTGCGCGGCTCCTGCCCTCCGCGGAGGCAAGCACTCAAGGGGAGCTGCCCAAACGCAAAGGGTTAAGGACGACTCCGGACCCCGCGGACCCGCTCCCCGACCTGCCGCGGGCGGGGGGGGGGGGGCCGGGGCGAGGACCTCGCGGGCGGGCGGGCGGGCGGGCGGCGCGGAGCCCGCACACGCGAGCCCTACGTGCCGCCCAAGTCCCGCCCCAGCGAGGCGAGCGCAGGGAGCGCGGCCGCGGGAAGGGTCCGGCCCGCGCGCCGGGCGTGGGAGCGGAAGGCGCCTCTCGGGAGCGGCGGAGGGTCCGGGGAAGGGAAGGGAAGAGGAGGGGGCGGGGCGCGGACGCCCCCCTCCCCCAGGAAGGCCGCGGCAGGCCCGGGCGAGCAGCCAGGCCGGGCGCGAGGGCGGCGCAGCCCCGCCGCCGGGCCCCCCCACCCCCACCCCCACCCCCGCCCTCACCCTCGGCCTCGCGGGGAGCAGGCCGGGCGGGGGTGGGGGTGGGGGCGGGGGCGGGGGACAACGGGCCGGCGGCCGTCCGTTGGCCCGAGCGCGCCCCGCCCCGCTGCGCCGCGCCGCCCCGCCCCGCGCCGCGCGGCCGCCCCGCCCGGGGAAACTACGCCATTGCGGCCTAGCGGGCGGCGCCGCGCCTCCCGCCGCCATCTTCGGCCCGCCGGCCCGCCGCCCGCCGCCCCCGCCGCGGCCCGCCATCTTTTGGGGCCGCCATACTTGCCCTGCGAAGAAGATGGCGGCGCCCATCACACACATAAAACATGGCTTCCCTTCAAAACAAAAACATCCCGGGGGCCGGCGCGCGACGGCGCTCACCTGAGGACCACATGGTGACCGAAAACTCGCCCTCCAGGGTCTTGATCTGCACCTGCTTCTGCTCCCACTTCTTGTTGCCCGCGTCCGCGCCGCCCGCCGCCCCGGCCCCGCCGCCGAGGTAGCCCTTCTTGCCGCTCTTCTTGCCGCCGCCCTTCTTGACGCGGCCGCCGCCCGACGACGACGAGCCGCCGCCGCCGCTCTTGCCGGCCGCCGCCACGGTGACCAGCGTCTGCTCGATGTAGTCGTCGTCGCCGCCGGCCGGCGCGGGCACCGGGATGAGGATCTGGTCCTCGAAGCCGTCCTCGGCGCGCAGCCCGTCCGAGTCGTCGCCGCCCACCACCTCCTCGCGCGTCTGCACCAGGATCACCTCCTGGTGGTGGTGCACCTGGGTCGGGTCGTCGGTGACGAGCGGCTGCAGCGCGATCATGGGCGGGTGGTGGTGGTGGTGGTGGTGGTGGTGGCCCGCGTGCCCGTGGCCGCCCCCGCCGCCGTGGTCGCCGCCGCCGCCGTCCTCGTCGTCGTCGTCCTCCTCCTCCTCCTCGCCCACCACCGTGGTCTCGATGGTCTCCACCGGGATGGTCTCCACCTCGATCTCGTGCAGCTCCACGATCTCGGCCGGCATCTCCGAGCCGTCCGTGGCGATGTAGAGGGTGTCGCCCGAGGCCATGGCTGAGGGCTCCGCCGCCACGGCCGCGGCGGCCTCGGCTCCGGGGCTACGGGCGGGCGGGCGAGGAGGCGGCCGGCCGTGGGGAAGGAAGGCAGAGGGAGGAAGGCGGCGGGCGGGCGGGCGGGCGGGCGGGGGGAGAGGGGGCGGGCGGCGGGGGGAAGGGGCGGGCGCGGCGGCGGCGGCGGCGGGCTTCCCCGCCTCCTCGCCTCGGTGCGCCCCGCGCTCGCTCGGCCGCTGCTCGCCCCGGCGCCCCGCCTCGCCGCGCCTCGGCCGCCCGCTCTGGCCGCGCCTCCTCCCGCCCTCCGGGCCGGCGCTCCGCTTCCCCCTTCCTCCTGCGCCTCCGCCTCCTTCCACACAAATACCAACTCCTCACCCCGAGCCCAGATCTCGCCGCCGCCGCCGCCGCCACACTCCGCTCAGCCTCGGCCTCGCGAGACTTCCGCGCTGGCCTCGGCCCGCCCCGCCTCGCTCCCACTCGCCCGCCGGCCCTCTCGCTCCGCCCCCTCCGCCAATCGGTCTGCGCGTTCGCCGCCGCGGCCCCGCCCACTCACCCGGGCTCCTCCCGGACTGGGGTCGCAGGGGCGGCCCCCCGCGCGCGCCGGCCGGCCGTGGCGCGTGACGTCAGCACGCCGCCGCCGCCGCCCTCGCCGCCGCCGCCGCCCTCGCCGCCGCCGCCGCCCTCGCCGCGAGTCGCGCGCCTCCCGCCCTCCGCGGTGGCCCAGCCGCGAGCCCCGCGAGCCCCGCGGCCCCGGCCGCCCTCGGGACAGGGCGTCGCCGCTGCAGCCGCCGCTTCGGGAGCCGGTGAGCGGTGCGCGGCCCCCGGCGCCGCGGGGGAGGGCGGGGCCGGCTGCGCGCGGGGGTCGGCGGGCGAGCGGCCCGGGCGCCGCGCGGGGGAGCGGGCGGCACGCGGGGCGGCCCCGGCGCCCAATAAAGTCTGCTTTGACGGGACACGCCTGTGCCTCCTCCTTCGCGTCGGGCGGCGTTTGCTCATGGCGCGGGGCTCCGGGCGGGCGGCGGCGGCGGCGGCGGCGAGCGCGCGGGGCGGGCGGACAAAGGCGGGCGCGCCGCGGAGGCGCGGAGGCGCGGAGGAGCAGGTCCCGGGCCTCCGCCGACGCCCTGCCTTTCCCTTCCCTTCCCTTCCCTTCCCTTCCCTTCCCTTCCCTTCCCTTCCCTTCCCTTCCCTTCCCTTCCCGCGCCGGGGCTGCCCGCCCTCCTGCTGCTGCGGCCCGCGGAGCTCGGGAGCACCGGGCCGCGGCCGCTCGTCGCGCGGCTCGGCCCCTTGCGGCTTTCTAGAATTCCCTCGGGAGCGCCCCTTTCTTCCCTCTGCAGCCAATCGGTGTCGCCCCGACCACCGTCCTCACCAGTTTCGCGCTTCGCGGACGCTCCTCCTCGAGCCCCCCCCGCCCCCCCCGGCCTGCGCCGGCCTCACCCCGGGGGCGCCGCGTTGCCCGGCGCTGGCCGCTCCACCTGCCGCGGAGCCCGGGTTCTCCCGCGCGCGCCCCAGCGGCGACCGAAGCCTCCCCCGGTCCGAGTCTAGCCGCGTGCGGCGAAGCGGCTTCGCCCTGACTCGTGCTTTTGGCCCACCCGACGGGTTGCTTTAAAGCCCTAAAGACTCCCGGGTCTTCAAGAAAACCTCGGAAAACCGTACATCTGGGAAGGTGTCCTCGCCGTCGTGCTCGTGTGGCCAGCGTAAGGCCCGTGCGAGTGCCTTGATCTCCTGCAGCAGCCGTCCTGCAGTCCACGCCCCGGGAGGGATCAGGCCCAGCCTGTTTGAAACAGCAGGTGTCTTTGGTTACATGTTAGAGAAGAGTGGGTGCATGCTGATTAAAAAAAAGCGACTTGGTCAACTTAGGTTTTACTTATTTCTGAATGCCGTCATTTGAACTTGACTTTTGAGAGTTTTAGTGTAAGGAGCGAAAAATTAGATCGTTTTCTCTCTGAGTCTCAAAACCTGAGTAATTCCCCTTGGAGTGCTGCACCCACACAGTTTGGCAAAGTCGGATCTGTTGAAAGAAGTCATTTCTGGCTTCATAGCTTATAAATTGTGCGTAAATATTTCACAAGCGAAAACCGATTGCGGGAGAATTTTTGTGTGTGGCTTAATTTCCCTTTCCCCACTCTCCAGTAATTGATGGGGAAACCCGTCTAAGTAGTTGATACGTCCCCATAGATAGGAGAGAAATGGGGGGAGTACCTGCTTAAGTAGCCTAGCTTCCAAGTGGTAGATCTATAGACGTTCACCATCAAGTGGAGAAAGCTCAAAGGGGTTTAAGACTTGAGAAGGATGGCAGGTGCGACACCGCATTAAGGTGTTCCTTTTTTTTTTTTTTTTTTTAAGATTTTATTTATTTGTTCACAAGAGACACAGAAAGAGAAAGGCAGAGGAAGAAGCAGGCTCCCTGTAGGGAGCCCGACGTGGGACTTGATCCCGGGACCCCAGGATCACGCCCTGGGCTGAAGGCAGCACCAAACCGCTGAGCTCCCGCCCCCCACCCCCCCCACCCCCCTCACCCCGGGCTGTGTTCCTAACTGCTTTCCCAGCACCTGCTCTACAAGTAGGTTTTAAAGATTTATTTTAGAGGGAGGGAGTGTAGGGCAGGGAGGGGCAGAGAGAGCATCTCAAGCAAGCTCCACTCCAGATGTGAAGAGCACGATGCGGGGCTCTGTCTCCACCCTGAGATCAGGACCTGAGCCGAAACCAAGAGTCAGTCACTAAACCAATTGAGCCACCCTGGCACCCCTCCACAAATAGTTTTTACAATTCCCCCAGAGCAGGGGCACCTTGGTGGCTCAGTGGGTTAAGTGTCTCACTCTTGATTTCAGGCTCAGGTGGTAAACTCAGGTTGTGAGATCGAGCCCAATGTCAGGCTCCTTGAGTGCAGAGCTTGCTTGAGATTGTCTCTCTTGCTCTGCTCCCCCCATCCCCCCCCCCACTAGCATTCTCCCTCTCTCCAAAAAACAAAAAACCCAAAAAACAAAATTTACCCCAGAGGGCTGTTGTGACTAGATGCTCAAAGATAGTGTGTTACTTTGGCTCTAGCTTGCTTGCACTCGCTACTAAAAGTGACAATTTAAAAGGACAGGTTAAATTGCCATTTCAGAGCCATGGGACTTTAGGGATAATTTAACTGTCTTTACTCTTCTGTTTGGCCAGAATGAATTGAGCCAATGAGTTCCTTCTGAATGTCTAGAGTCTCTTTTTGCTTTGACAACCGGACAGGTGATTAATGTCAGTCTACAACTGAGTGCCTTGTACATGGAATGATTGATTGCTTTTTGGTTTATCAAAAAGTGAAGTTCAAAGCACCATGACAGTAGTTGTGCGTGATAATGCTTGACTCAAACATCTCAAAAGCTCTGACTTTGCATGAGGCTTCCAGTCTTCCACAGAATGTCATCAACTGCAGAAAAAACTCGAATATTGGAAGAATCCTAAAAGTCATGCAGAAGTTTTATTGGGGCTAGAGAAGTCAGAGCTTACTAATGGCTGAGGAGATGGGAAGACAAATATCCTTTTTTTTTTTTTTTTTAAGATTTTATCCATTTATTCATGAAAGAGAGAGTTGCAGAGGGAGAAGCAGGCCCCATGCAGGGATCCCGGCGCGGGACCCGATCCCCAGTCTCCAGACTCCGGCCCTGGGCTGGAGGCTGTGCTAAACCGCTGAGCCACCTGGGCTGCCCCCTGATGACAAATATCCTACAGGGATTGTGCCCTTTGGCCACCTGAGCGGGACAAAGATGCGGACTGTTAGCTACAACTCTTGAAGTCTCCTGCCTCCCTCATTTCCCCAGTGGTTTCTTTCCAGAAACTCCATTAAATGCTCAAACTGAGTTTTAAGAGGATGTAGTTTCAGGACACATGGAGAGGGCAAAGTTCAGGAGTGAGAGGAAGAATAAAGGGTGTGAGTTAAAAGATGCTGGTATTTACCATTTTCAAACAGTCTTATTTGTGGATCATAAGGAGGCTGGCTGTTAAATCTAATTCTGCCTTATGTGTATCTCTGACAGGTTAGGAATGGTTCAGGTAGTGAACTCAGGATGCTAAGTAATTTCCCTTACCACAGGGATGCTGGGGTGGCTCAATCCGTTGGGTGTCTGCCTTTGGCTGAGGTCATGATCCCAGGGTCATGCGGGGTCCGGCTCCCTGCTCAGTGTGGAGCCTGCTTCTCCCTCTCCCTCTGCCTGCCACACTCCCCCTGTGTGTGTTCTCTGTCAAATAAACGAATAAAATCTTACAAAAAAAAAATTCTCTTACCACAAACTAACGTAGCTTCTTCATGAAATTGCCTTTGGTTAGTTTAATGTGTCGTCCTTGGGAGATTGCCTTGGTGGGCAGTTAGGCACAGGACAAAGATTGTTAGAGCTGTGGGTATTTTTGCATTTTGCCTGCAGGGAAAGCAGCTGAGAGAGGACCTGCTCAAGGTCACAAGGTCACGTTGCCAGGGCTGCAGGTAGAGCTGGCATCTGCATTGTGTTAGCTCTGTGGGGAGGGGCGGCAAGGTGGGGGTGGTGGGAGGAGGTTGAACGCCATTCTAGTTTAGGTCCATGCTGAGTTTCAAATAAAATACTTGGGAAAATCAGGTTGGAATTTCATGCTCGGGCATATAACTTAGTTCTACCCAGTTGGTATCAATACAGGTCAAATGAAGGGCACCTTGGGTGACTCAGTTGGTTAAGCAATCTGTCTTAGGCTCAGGTCACGATCCTGAGGTCCTGGATCAAGCCCCAGGTCACCTGGCTTCCTGCTCAGCAGGGAGCCTGCTTCTCCTCCCTGCCCCCTCTACTTGTGCTCCTTCTCTCTCTCTCAAATTAAAAAAAAAAAAAAATACAGGTCTAATAACACATAGGTGTGTACTTGAATAAACTAGTTCCTGGTTGTGGGGTCTGTGAAATCTCGGCTGTCAGAAGGATGCTCCCTTTCCACCGATGCATATTAGATTCAGAGATTAAGTGGCTATAAGATATCCTAACTACCTGCTTCTTAAGCTGCTATTTATGTAACATCTTATGTCCTTTACTTTTGTAAGATCTTCAGTAAATTCTTTTTCTGAGGTCAAGTAGGTTATTTCAGTCTGTCGTCTGGTTACCACCCATGACTCTAAGTTGAAGTCTGCAGTCCTAAATTAGCCTCGCTGTTCTCTACTTCTTAGTGCGGTAGGGACAGAACAGCTTACAAGGTCTAGGGAATTAGCTTGGCCTTGCTGAGAGTCAGGGGCATAGCAGCCTCCCTGTTTTCTCCGGAAAGAGGGGTGACCTGGGGAGTTAGGCAGGTCTAGCTGATTGTTCCTCTTGCCGAGTGCCCCAGGGACACAGCCGTGAACCAGATGACACACTTGTCTTCATCGAGCCTGCAGTCTGGAGAGGATGGGTCATGAACAGGTGGGTCACAGGTACTTGCCATGAATCTGGTTGTGTAAAGTCCTAGGAAGAAGAGGAGAGGCCGGGGACCCTGTCAGGTAAAAGCCTTCCTGGGTAAAAGGCAACCCGGCCGGGACTCACAGGTTGAAGGAGCCAGAAAGAGCCTGACCCAGCACTTGGCTGCGTACTGGCCTTTTTTTTTCTTTTATGCTAATTTCTATTTGGAAAAGGAGTAGATAGAGTAAATCAGGTGATGAATGTGTAAATAACGTGGCAATCCCGTAACCCTTGTTTTTTGTCTTGGAAACTCATCAAATTCGCGGATTCACCCGCTGAAAATGCTGCTGGCGTTGGCTACGGTTTTCTCGCCCCATACTTGGTTCCTAACATCATGTCCTATTTTGTTTTGTTGTCTTTTATGAGCTATTCCCCGTTCAGAATTCACACTTGAACTTGGGGATTGATAGCGGAAATCATTTTGGAGTTCCAGGCCTTGCAAGTTAGAGGAGCTATAACACTGATCAGTGGGAAAGGCAGATTGGAGTCACCCAAGCTTGGGTTTGGGTCCCTGTTGTGCTGTTTATCATCCATGTAACATCAGCAAAGGCTCGCAACCTCTAAACCCTCCATTTCCTGAGCTGTAAAGGAAGCCTAATGATGCCAGCCTTCGGATGTTATAGGGGAGTGCACGGTCATGGTAAGTAAAATGCCCAACTTGGGCGTGTGGGGTGCTTGTGCTCTTCAGAACCAGTTATATTTTTTTCCTACCCTTCTCTTTCCTAGGTTAGCCAGCTCCTGCCACTCACATCTCAGTTTCCGGGCTCGTGCTCTGCATCAGGCACTGCTGGCTTGATGGCTAATGCTTATAGACGTGCTTATAGAGGGGACCCAGCACTCCTGTGGTTTCTTAAAGCAGATGAAAATTCACATACCAGCCAGCCTTTTTTTTTTTTTTTTTTTGAGAGATTTTTCCTATCAATGGTAAGTATTAAATCTCTATAAGCTAGGTGGATTACTGTCTGTTAAAAGTAGAATAAATAGCTTGCTTTTATGTTTTCCATGTTGATCAGAACTCAGTTTCTCCACATTGGAGCTTCCTTTGGAAGGGTCTATACTGTGATCCAGCTGCTGGTGTCTTACTGCTCACTTTTCTTGTGGCACAGGTGCTTTGGCTGGTGGCGGGGTGGGTGGCTAAACCTAAGGAGACTTGGCGGGGGCGTTGTCGTGGGGTTCAGCTGCCATGGAAACAGCAGCCTGAGGTGAGAGTCAGGGAAGAGGAAGGCTGTTGGTCTCTGCCCCATATTCTAGCGAACCAGGTTCTGTTGCAGAGTTGCCACGTGACTTCCTTGGCACACTCTGGTGCATGATTCTTTCCTCCCTTAGGTCACATTGCAGTTTTGAACTTGGCATTTAAAGGATGATGGAGGTAGGCAGGAAGGACTATCCTATCTAAACCGTGCCATCCTATTACTACCCGAGGAATGGATTGGGAGCGTCCTTGCGCCGTTTCTGCTCAAATGGCAAGAATGCAGTCATGGGTGGCCTGCATCTTTTTCTAGTGATGTTTTCAACCTGAGCCTTCCAAAGGTGGTGTTTGCCCTGAGGTGGTGTGAGGCTGTTGCCATTCTAGATGCCACTCTCCACCATCTTGCCTGCTCCCGTGTTCGTTGAAGAGCTGGCGCTTCATCTACACTCTTCCTCTCGAACCTGAGCCACACCAGCCCTTAGCTGACTTGAGTCACCAGCACTCAGGTCTGTATTTTGTCCGCTGCAACTTCCATCACCTTGTTTCCCCCCTTCAGCTGCTGTATCCCGGTCCTTGTTCCAAAGAGCAGCACTCCATCTGGAACCTCAAAACCCGATTCCTTGTCCTCTCCAACTCCTACCTTCTCTCCCGTTGACCCTCGGCTTGAGCCTCAGACCTTCAGTTTTCTGATCCCTCCTTTCTTTCCTAGATTGGAAATCAGTCCGTGGTTAATCATCAGCATCCTCAGCATCACACTCTGCTTCTCTCTGACCAAACATCATCCTCGGATCAACCCACTTTTGTCTCTCTCCTTCTGGAACCCTGGGACTTTCTGGAGGAAACACTACTCACGTAGGTAGACTTTTGCCATAACTTCTGGTCTCTAGCATCAGCTATGTGTTTAATGTCACTTGACGATTCTCCTTGTTTGTCCTAATTCCACCTCTCCATCATTTTGTTCAGCAAATTCTCTACTTTCCTCCAAGTCCTTAAGAAATGTGCTTGTGGCCCTCTCTCCCCCTCCCCGTCCAGCCTCCTACTTGAAGAATATTGGAGGGATCTGGATTCATTTGTCCAGACACCAGCTGTCCCTTTGTAGCTGTCTCCCCTGCAGAATAAGCAGCAGGCTCCCTCTGTTCTCTGACCCTGCAGGGCTGCTGACTGAACCCCTGTCCCCCACCTGTGCTCTGCTCCCTGCTCTCTGTCCTCTGGGCCCTTCTACCTTAGCTTGTCTTCGCTCCCTGACAGGCCATCTTTCCCTGGCTCTTCTCATTGGATTGTGTCTCTCCTAGTCTTTAAAAACTAAGGCTCGGGCAGCCCGGGTGGCTCAGCATTTTAGCACTGCCTTCAGCCCAGGGCGTGACCCTGGAGACTGGGATGGAGTCCCACATGAGTACCACATCGGGCTCCCTGCATGGAGCCTGCTTCTCCCTCTGCCTGTGTCTCTGCCTCTCTCTCTGTATTTCTCATGAATAAATAAATAAAATCTTTTAAAAAATAAAAAAATAAAATAAAAAACAAGGCTCTTGCTTGACCCCGTGCCTCCCTCTAGCCATTACCTGTCTCTTGTTCCCATCCAGGCATCCTGAGCCTGTCTTTCCAGCCTTTATTTGGTGTGTGTGGCCCCAGGCCCCGTGTCTCCCAGCAGCCTGCCAGTCATTCTGTCAGCCACCAAACAGATGAAGGCTTTCTGATCTCGCCTCCTTGCCTTCTCTTGCACCTGACCTGATGCCAGCTGCTGCTCTGTCCCCGGACTTCCCACCTATGCTGTCCTCAGCTCTCTGCTTGGGCTCCATCTTCTCGAGTGTGACTTCTTTTCTTTTTGCCACCCTCCTTGTTCCGCATGGCCCCCCAGGTCATTGGGTCCCCACATGTGGCTCCAACAGCCCCCTGCGTGCTGACTGTTCTTCACTTCTGTGCCTATTCTGGGTTCACCCCAGAGCTCTGTTGCACTTCGCCCTGTTCCAGACAGCCCTGCTCCGTGGCCCACGGCACCCTAGCCACCCTGCCAGCCTACCTGTGTCTCCATCTGCGCCAGCCCGGTTCCTCCAGCAGTTTCCTCTCCTTAACACCCATTGCTCAAGACCAAATTTGGGACTCCGTCTTAGACTCCTCTCTCCCCCTCATCCCCTCCTAAATATTTTTCAAAACCAACTTTTCTGCATTCCCGCTCCTCTCATCCTTGTGTAGGCTCTGGCTCTCTGTCACCTACGCATTTGCCAACCAGCTGCTCTACCCGCCGCCACCAGCCCCTCCTTCCTCGGGGGTCTCCTGAATTTCTCTCCCGCGCTGATGGGACCACGTCACTTCCCTTTTCAAACTTCTCAGGGGCTCTGGGAGCCTTAAGACTACCAGCCCCTCGGTGTGATGTTCCTACCTGGTGGCCTCTTCTTCCAGCCTTTGAGCCCCCTGCAGACATGCACACTGTGCTAGCTCGTACCTTGTTTCCAGACAGTTCGTTTTCCTAGGCCTAAAACATCCTTTCCTACCTCCTCCAATTTTGTCTCCCAAAGCTGCTCAGGTGACTACTCTGGGAAGCTTTCGCTGGAAGGGTATTTCCATAGTTACCATTGTTCTCCCATTATAGTGGAAGTGACCGTTAATAGTTCTGCTTTCCCACAAAATCGTACAATGTTTGAGGGCAGGGATGGTGTCTGGCTGGCCTCTTGTTCCTGGAGGGAATTGGGGCCAGTCCAGTGCAGGACACGTGGCAGGTCTATCTGAGCAGGAGTCCCTGCTGATGCTGCTCCCTTGTCCTCCTCCACCCTCCTGCATGTAGAATGAAGTCCAGCTGGGTTTTAACAGGCATAGCAAAAAAAAAAAAGAGAGAGACAGACCTGGATTGAATATTTGTTTCACCATTTATTAACTAAGTGACCTTAGTTACATGAGTCTTTTACCCCTGGGGTCAGTTTATCTGTAAATTAGAAATACTAATGTTCAACGTTGTTGCAAAGTTAGATTGAAATCACGTGCATGGGGGCGCCTGGGTGGCTCCGTTGGTGAAGCATCTGCCTTGGGCTCAGGTCATGATCCTGAGGTCCTGGGATCGAGCGCTGTGTCTGGCTAAGCAGGGAGCCTGTTTCTCCTTCTCCCTCTGACCCTCCCCCCGGGCTCATGCTCCCTCTCTCAAATAAATAAATAAATAAAATATAAAAAAAAGAAACCATACGCACAGTGCTCCTGGCTGTAGGAGGTGGTAATATGCTTCCTCCTTGTTACTATTTCTCTGCTTCCTCCTGCCTCAACCCCTCCCTCCCGAAACATCCAGCTTCACAAATTTCATCTCTAGTTTCCCTGCTTTTGGTAGTTCTCCCTGCATTAAGGAATGCCTTCCTCAGATCCACCAGCCTCTTCACGCATCTCCACCCATTTGGCCTCCAGGCATGCCCAGGTAATTCAGTTAGAAATAACCCCTGTAGCATAGGGTGTTCCCTGCAGACTATCCTGTTAGCAGTCTTTTAATTACCTGTAGACAGTTCCTGCGTTGAAGACCTTCCAGAAAAGGCAGAGATGTTTCTCCTTCAATTTTGTAGCTCTCCCTTGCTTCTGACAACCCAGGGCCTGGTACATCCTAAGTGTTGAGTGAAGGGCTGTTGACTGTGACTGGTGTTGGAAGGAAGAGGAATGCTTCTTTGTGGGGTTAAAATGTTGTCAGCGTCTTAAAGGAATCAAACCCTCTGGGAACTTGGAATTTTAGCTTATTTGCCCATAAGATTTTTTGCATGATGTGAATGTCCACTTGCAACCAAGTAAGTGTCTAGAAATTAAACATAATTCTAGAAAATTCATTTCAAGCACAACGAAAAATTGTTAGTCTGGAAATTAGTTTATAATGTGAAGAAAGTAAAGATTGTTCTTTGCTCCGAGCTACAAGAAAGTGGTGTGTATTTCTAACATTTTTCAAAAGCATATTCAAAAAGGAAATTCTTAAAAAAAAACAAAAGAAATTCTTTAAGTAGAAAGTGCTTTGGGAAGATAGTTTTTTTTTTTTTTTACTTTATTTTTTTTTTTATTTTTTTTATTCATAGAGATGCAGAGAGAGAGAGAGAGGCAGAGACACAGGCAGAGGGAGAAGCAGGCACCATGCAGAGCCTGACGTGGGACCCGATCCAGGGTCTCCAGATCACACCCCAGGCTGCAGGCGGCGCTAAACCGCTGCGCCACCGGGGCTGCCCTGGGAAGATACTCTTATTTTGACCTGCTCAGAGGAAGCTGATACCATTCTTCGTCCAGCCCTTTTATTTTTTTCTAAGTTTTTATTTATTTAAGTAAACCCTACACCCAACGTGGGACTCGAACTCGTGATCCTAAGATCAAGAGTCGCACGCTCCACCAACTGAGCTGGCCAGGCGCCCCTCATCCAGCCCTTTTTTTTTTTTTTTTTAATTTATGATAGTCACACACACAGAGAGAGAGAGAGGCAGAGACATAGGCAGAGGGAGAAGCAGGCTCCATGCACTGGGAGCCCGATGTGGGATTCGATCCCGGGTCTCCAGGATCGCGCCCTGGGCCAAAGGCAGGCGCCAAACCGCTGCGCCACCCAGGGATCCCTCATCCAGCCCTTTTAAAGAGAATGGTGTCACAAGTGAGGTCCTGTCACAACCACCACAACAAAGAGAGAGTCCACATAAAGAGACCATTTCCTGTGGAAATAAATGCCTTATTGATTTATGTGTTAATCCAACGGTTAGCAGGTTGGCAGAGCTCTTGGCGTTACCGACTGATAAAGGTGTTTATAGACCTGCTCCCACGTATCTCTCACAGCCATTAAGTAGTGATTTCCCTAGGACACAGCTCCTCCCCTTTCTTCCCCAAACCAGTGAATTCTAGATGCAAAGCCTCCTCATTGTGAGCATGGAAGCAGTCCACTTCTGGCTGCAAACGAGGCAGGTGGCCATGGCCTGCAGCGAGCTTCTGGTGTTCCAGGTTGCGAACTAGCCACTGCTTACTCTTCACACACGCTGACTTTTAAATCCCATCTCCCAATGAAGCAACTTACCTGTTACGTAACAAAACGTGTAAATCTTCACAGGCTGGAGATGGGGAGGTGTCTTGACTGTACGGCAGCATATTCTCCCCATCAGCTCAGTACCAGCAGCTGGCTCTCAGGTGGCCCTCGTGTAAACTGAGGTCCCACATCAGAAACATCTTCTAGAAATGACCTAGAGGAATAGCCAAATGCATTACTGTGTGTCACAGTATGTTTGTGGAGCAGGATGTGGGGGTCCCTGTGGCGTCCACTTTGTTTATGGCTGATGACTGCCCTTAGCACCCAGTGCTCCCTCCTTATAGAGCCCCAAAATTTTCATGTCATGGGGCAGGGAGAAATCCGATTCCCTAGGAAAGGGCTGAGGAACTGCCTTTGCTTCGCAGATAAATCGTGCTTGGCTAAACATCCAGGCCCATCTTGTTTCCTTTAGCCAGTGACTGTTCTGAGAGACAGTCAGAGGGAATGTGACCCAGTTCTGGCCAATGAAATATTAAGGAGAGGGTGTATTATCGGAGTGGCTTCGCTTCCCAATGAAAAGGTAAAGCTTCCAGAAAAGACTGCCTCTCTTCCTCGTTCCTGCCCCAAAACAATGTGATGACTAGGGCTGTTGCAGCCATTTTAGGACTGCGAGGAAGAGACTTACAGAATTAAGGTCATTGGTGGTAACAGCCCCGTGGAGCTGGGAACCCACGGGTACCACCCAGGCACACACACGAGCCATTGCACGGGTCTGTTCATGAGACTCAGGAGCAGGTTGGACCATCAGTTCCCTCTGAGAATAGGGTGTGCCATGGAATGGAGGAGTTGGCGCATCAGAAGGGGAATCTCGGGGATCCCTGGGTGGCTCAGTGATTTAACGCCTGCCTTCAGCTCAGGGTGTGATCCTGGAGTCCCAGGAGGCCTGGAGTCTCGAGTCCCATGTTGGCTCCCTGCATGGAGCCTGCTTCTCCCTCTGCCTGTGTCTGTCTCTCATGAATGGATGAATAAATCTTTTTTTTTTTTTTTTTTTTAAAGAAGGGGAATCTCTGTTCTATATGGCTGAAGTGTTTTCTCTTGGTAATCTGATAGCCCATCCGTGTGGAACATTATAAAGCCATTGATTTTTTTGTATATGTCGGGTTTCAGTTTTGTTAATGGTTTTAATAATATAAAGAAATGCAGGTAAGATAGTCAGAAATGTAATAGAACACTGAGTTATGTAATGTAGTCCCGACTTTCTTTGGAAAAAGGTAGAAAAAATTGGGGAAGTAAGTATGTCAAAACAATGGTTTGCCGCTGGGAATTGGCATTCTGGGCAGTTGCTTTGTTTATGTTTGTGTGTGGTTTTCACATACGGGTTCCCCCCCCCCCCCCCGTTTTAATTTTTTATTGCAGTTAAAAGACAAAGCATAAAATTAACCATCTTAGCCTTTTTTTTTTTTTTTAATTTTTTATTTATTTATGATAGTCACAGAGAGAGAGAGAGAGAGAGGCAGAGACACAGGCAGAGGGAGAAGCAGGCTCCATGCACCGGGAACCCGACGTGGGATTCGATCCCGGGTCTCCAGGATCGCGCCCTGGGCCAAAGGCAGGCGCCAAACCGCTGCGCCACCCAGGGATCCCCTTTTTTTTTTTTATAGTAGGCGACACACCCAGCACAGAGCCCGACTCAGGGCTGAGCTCACGACCCTGAGATCAAGACCTGAGCTGAGATCAGATTTGGATGCCCAACCGACTGAGCCCCCAGGCACCCATCACCTTCTCTGTGTGTTTAAGTCCACAGCACGGGGGCATCAAGCACATTCACTGTCATGCAGCCACCACCGTCTCCAGTACAGGTCACCTTGCAGAACGGTAAGCCTCCGTCCCATCCCCGCAGCCCTGGCTCCCACCGTTCACCGTCTGCCTTGGCGAATGTGACCATTGCGGGTGCCTCACATGTGAGTGCCTCCTGCGGGGTCTTTCCCTTTGTGACCTTCACATCTCAGAATGTTCTCCGGGTCTGTCCATGTGGGAGCAGGCATCAGAATTAGTGTGGTATGTACGCATCGCATCTTGCCTGTCCGTTCTTGTCTCAGTGGCCGCTCGAGACTGCTTCGATGTTGTGAATAATGCTGCCATGCACACAGGTGCACAGATAAGCAGGTATTTTGTAGTCAGGAAAAGTAGCAGGGGTGCCTGGCTGGCTCAGTCGGCAGAGCATGCGATTCTTTCTCTGGGGGTTGTGAGTTCGAGCCTCACCTTGGGTCCAGATCCTACTTCAAAGTGAGAGAGTAGCAAATGAAGGTCTTGGGGCACCCAGATCATCTGTGTTGAATTTGTACGTCCCCACCTCAGTCCTCATGCTCTATCAGGGCTTCTGAACACTTAGACAACAGTAGCATTTCCCTGCCAGAAGGGAAAATTAGAACCTGGACACTCTCCCCCCGCTTGAAAGCCTGATGGCCGCACAGGGTTAGCTGCGCTCACGTGCTCCACCTGCTTCCTCCGGGAGTCCTTCCTGTCCTTCCCTTGCTGGGCAATGGTGACTCCAGCCCTGACGCTGTCCCCAGAGAGGCTGGTGCTGTGCCTACACCCTCCTTCCCTGTCCTTCCAAGCTATGTCGGCTGTCTGTCTGTCTGTTTCCCCAGTGAACTGTATGGAAGACAGAACAGCCACAGGTCAGTTCACCAGCTACCTGGGGCTCCCTGTGGTCACCGCCCTGCAGGGTGCCTGGGACTCGGGGACAGGCAGGGCGAGCAGTGCAGGGCACGCTTCACCCAAGCCTCTTCAGGTAGAGGAGGTCCTGTGGGAGCTCGCTCACTTGGTGGGAAGCACAGCACTCGAGGCATAAAAGACCCTCCAGGGGCACCTGGGTGGCTCAGTGCATTAAGCATTGGACTCTTGGTTTAGGTTTTTGTTTTTTTTTTTACTTATGATAGTCACCGAGAGAGAGAGAGAGAGAGAGAGAGAGAGAGAGAGAGAGAGAGAGGCAGAGACACAGGCAGAGGGAGAAGCAGGCTCCATGCACCGGGAGCCCGACGTGGGATTCAATCCCGGGTTTCCAGGATCGCACCCTGGGCCAAAGGCAGGCGCTAAACTGCTGCGCCACCCAAGGATCCCTTGGTTTAGGTTTAGATCATGATCTCAGGGTCGTGAGATTGAGTCCCTCGTTGGGCTCCACGCTCAGTGCAGAGTCAGCTTGAGATTCTTTCCTTCTGCCCCCTCCCCCTGCTCTCTCACTCTCTCTCAAATAAACACAATTTTTTATTTTTTTTTTAAGTTTTATTTATTTATGATAGTCACAGAGAGAGAGAGAGAGAAAGAGGCAGAGACATAGGCAGAGGGAGAAGCAGGCTCCCTGCACCGGGAGCCCGACGTGGGATTCGATCCCGGGTCTCCAGGATCGCACCCTGGGCCAAAGGCAGGCGCCAAACCGCTGCGCCACCCAGGGATCCCAAACACAATTTTTTAAAAAAGCCCCTTGAACTGATGTAGTCCAACTACTTGAGATACCCAGGCCAGGTGTCCAGGCATGAGGCTGAACTGAAAAAAGTGCCTTTCCTGCCACCTGGCAGCCCCCAGCAGGGCTGGCCTGAGCCAGCTGTGGGGCACTGACCCGTCCTCAAAAGCCTTTGGTGGGCTCTGCTCCCCTCTGCCAGCTGGCTCTCGCTGCCCCTGCAGGCTCTCCTCGGACACCCAGATGTGCCTCCTCTCTGCCTGCCTTCTTGCCTCCGTCAGGTCTTCCTCCCCAGGCTCTGCCTCTGCACACGGGCCCTCACTGCCGCCCCCAGTGCCCCCCAGCACTGCAGCCCCCAGAAGTCCACCCCCTTCTCTGCAGTCGTGGTCCTGGTTCCCGGTGCCTGCCCACCCACCCGTGCGTGTTTATGGTGCTGGCGCAGGGCTCTGGGCTGGTGTGTGTACAGGGCCTCTCTCCCCTCTCCCCTCCTCTTCCTCTCCTCCCTTCCCTTCCCTTCTCCACCCCCCCCCCGCGCCATCCCCTCCCTCCTCCCCCTCCTCCCTCTGCCACCCTGTACCCCCATGCTACCTGAGCCAGGAGGAAGGGCCCAGGGATGCATGCTCTTCAGTACTGGTGACCTTTGGCACGGCTCTGAGAGCACAGAGAATTGAAGACCAGCCTCTGTGTGGAACTGGAGCAAGTTGGGGAGTAAGGGAGGGCCGGGAGCCGGAAGGAGGCTGGCACCCACCCGTGGGTCACTGGGAGAAGTGCACCAAAGCTGCTCCTGCCGGTTAGGGAGCTGGAAGCTGCTTCCAGAAGCACGGGGTTATCTCTTACACGTACAGTGAACTGAACAGAGTTCTTTCTTGGAGAAGGAGGAACAAACACCCCTCCTTGCTCGTCGCTGCCTCTGCAGCTGTGCGCCTGCCATTCCCCGCTTGCTGCACCCCCCTCTCCCTTCTCGCTCCTTCCTTCCCTCCCGCGCCTCCCATGTCCCTCTCCACCTCTGTTGTTGGCCCTGCCCTGTCCCTGTGGTCTGCCTCCCCTGCGGCTCCCCACAGACCCTCTTTCACACGGAGGCCGTGTCTGTACATTCCACACCTGTGTCTGCCAGCCACGGCGCTCTGTGTTATTAATAGAGCCAGTAGATGACTTAGGGCTTGGAGCTTTTTATTCTCCTAGAAAAATTCCAGCTGGTTATTTTTTTTCAGTCAACGGGTTTTCATTGATTTTCCTCCCCATGGATCAATGATCTTGTACCAAAAAGCTCACCACCACCCTGAGAAATGCAGGCCTGGGCAGGAGCCCCAGAGCCTCAGAGGTCTGTGTTTGCAAAGCGGAGCCCCGGCCCTTTTGCTCGCCCTTACAGCCCACACCCCGGCACACACCTGAACTGGGCACCCACCTCCTTCCTCCCCGTCCAGTTATCCAGCCGGCGCGCAAGCAGAGTTAGGTCTCTGAGGCACTTTGCTCTCCTAGCCTCATGCTGGGTCCTGCGCCGCTTATGGGAAGGCAGAGACCAGGTCAGGACCATCCCTCACGCTCCCTGGTAGCTGGGGTTCTGGACGACAGTCGGGTTCCTTCCATCAGATGCCCTATTTGGAAGGCAGACGTTAAGGGTAGGCTTTGGGGTATATGGGCGGGTGCCGTGTGCCCATTACAGGCTGAACGGCTGTGTGAGGAACCGGGAGGCAGAGGCCCCTCTCCACACGAGGCTTCCCCAGGACAGGTTTTCTGGGCATCACCAGGAGGGCCTCTGCGCCCCGGGGCCTGGGCAGTCGCTACAGTAGCGCCTGCACTGCTTTCTGATCCCTGCACCTCCCTCCCCCCACTCCTGTGCTGCACATGCTTGGCTCTGGGCCTGGTGGTGGCCTCCTGGTTCCCCACCTTCTGACCTGAGACCTTTCTGGCAGCTCAGCCATTCCTGGGTCCCTGGCGACAATTCTGTAAGCCATTGTCCCTTTGAAATATCACCCCTGCAAAGAACCCACTAAGGGCTGGATGTCTGGGTCCCTGCTGGAGGCCTGCGTTGCAGCCTAACCCCATTGGAGGGCATGAGGAGGCCAGGCCTTTGTGGGGGAGTGGGTTGTGTGGGTGGAACCCTCCCCGAATTGGTTAGTGCCCTTGTGAGTGAGACCCCAGAGAGCTCCTCTGCTCCTTCAGCTGAATGAGGTCACCATGCAGCCTCCAGGACCATGAGAACTAGTGTTGTGGGTGAGCCTCCCCCCCCCCGCCCCATGGTTACGGTAGCCCCAGAGGACCATCCACCCCTCCCCGTTTCCAGGTTGGGGTGCCTGTTGGTTCTCCCCATTTGATTGTCAGCTGCTTGAGCACGGGCATTGTGCATTAGTGGTGCCCCTGCAAAGAGCTCACTCAAAGCTTGCTGAGGAAAAGCTGGGGTCAGCTGCCCCCCACCAGCCCCCCATGCCCCAACAGCAGCATGTCTGGCTGCAGTGGTCACTTGGGAACTGGACTGAGGGTCACAGCCCCTCCGGGAGCCTCTGCCTTCCAATTCCCAATGCAGATGGCCCTTGGCGTCAGGGAGGGGACAGAGCAAACCAAACCACCGCCACTTGGTACCTGGAATTCAGCCTGTTATCCTTGCAGGTGCCTGGTGTTGCTTCAGGCTGTTGAGACCCTGGCCTTGGACTAAATCGCAGATTGGTTTTACAGAGTTCTGATCCCACAAACAACCCAAACCCATCCTAGAATCCAGGAACTCTGGAGGAAAACCAGGGTCATGGGTGTGTCTCTGTGTCCTGAGGGCAGATTTCTAGACAGACCACAGAAAGAACTCTGGAACCTAAGTCAGCTTACAAGTTGTAAAACAAGTACAGGCTATTTCTGGAGGGATCACGGGGAGGTGAGGGAGCCGCCTGGATCGACCCGGGAGGTCAGTGGGGCGGTCAGCATGAGGAGACTTCCTGGAGGCAGTTCCTCCACCGGGGCGTCTCTCCTGTGTCCAGCTTCAAGACGAGCTCAGAGTGTGTGGCAAAGACGGTGCAGGGCACCTGGGTGGCTTGAGCATCTGCCTTTGGCCCAGGCCATGATCTCAGGGTCCTGGGATCCAGGCCCGCATCAGGCTCCCTGCTCAGTGGGGAGTTTGCTTCTCCCCCTGCCTCTGCCCCTCCCTGCTGCTTGTGTGCGCTCTCTCAAAAAAATAAATAAAATCTTTAAAAAAAAAAAGGCAAATTAAGTGGGACAGAACGTAGGAAGAGAGCGAACCGAGCAGCCTGTACCTGTGTTGGCATGAGAGCATGCGTGGCTGGGGCCCCTGTCTCTGGAGCCTTTCCTGGTTGTGGAGGGAAATGCTGTGGGGGACACTGCACCCCCGCATCTGGTGGTGCTCTGACCAAGGCTTTGTGTGGAGGCAGGGAGCATTGGCCCGCAGCCCGAGACCTGAATCCTGTTTATCTCTGCTGCTAACCCCCTGTGTGCCCTCTGGGTTGAAGTATTTATTTTATGGCATCTATGAGAAGTATCCACCCCCACCCCCATCACAACGTGGCCCATTTCTGCTAGTTTTTTTTTTAAGATTTTTATTTATTTATTTATTCATTCATGAGAGAGACACACACAGAGAGAGAGAGAGAGAGAGAGAGAGAGAGGCAAAGACAGACACAAGGCAGAGGGAGAAGCAGGCTCCATGCAGGGAGCCCGACATGGGACTCAATCCTGGGTCTCCAAGATCAGGCCCTGGGCTGAAGGTGGCGCTAAACCGCTGAGCCACCCTGGCTGCCCTCTGCTAGTTTTTACCTGGGCTTTCATCTCTAATTTGCAGTAGCATCCTGGAGCTCAGGGCCCAAGGTGGGGAGCCTGCGGACCAAGGAGCACCCCGCAGCCAGACTGGGGCAGGGGCTCCATCTAACCTGCTTCTGTGGGTGGAGTCACCTGGCTATGGAGGCCGTCCTCTTGGGAGATAGCTTTCTCTTGGGAGATTGGTCACTAACCTGGCTGGGTGTCAGGTGCCTCAGTCATCCTGAGGGGCCAGTTAGTGAACAATCTCCCAAGAGAAAGCTATCTCCCATGAGGATGGCCAGGGGTCAGCTGTCTTTCTCCCCGTGCCCAGCCAGCGCACAGGAAATGCAGAAAATGTTGGTTGATCCAAACAGAGGTGCTCGACAGTGAGTGGGCAGTCAGTTGCTTTGAAGCCGGGTCCAGGCCATACCTAACAGGTGTGTGAGCAGGTGCTATGCTGCAGACAGGTGCTGCTGCTGCCTGCTGTGGTGAGCCCTGGCAGCTGGCACAGGGGGCTCTGCTGGGTAGTGACAGCTGGACCTAGCTGGAGCCCGTTCGGGATGGGGCTCGCAGGTGGGTGCTTAGCAAGCTCAAGTGGCTGGTATAACCACGCTGGGTGCAGCAGGCAGGCAGCTGGGTGAAACACTGAGACGAGCAGAACGGTGGGGGTTTGGAGCCGTGGGACATTGTCTCCAGTGCACCTGGGCAGGCGGCCAGAGCCCTGCTGGCTGCATCAACCTCAGGAGCGTCGTCCCCCAGGTCTCTGGATTCAACCTTCATTCTTACTCCAGGAAGGCCTCCAGGGGCTGTTGGCTGGGTGCCAGGTGCCTCAGTCGTCCTGAGGGCCTGGGTACCATTCCCACCATTTCACGCAGGAAGAAACTAAAACCCAGAGAAGAGGGATCCCTGGGTGACGCAGTGGTTTAGCGCCTGCCTTTGGCCCAGGGCGTGTTCCTGGAGACCCGGGATCGAATCCCACCTCGGGCTCCCGGTGCATGGAGCCTGCTTCTCCCTCTGCCTGTGTCTCTGCTTCTCTCTCTATCTGTGTGACTATCATAAATAAATAAAAATTTAAAATATATATATATATATATATTTTAAAAAATCACTTAAAAAAAATAATAAAACCCAGAGAAGAGAGATGCGTGGGGGGGCTTAGTCGGTGAAGCGTCTGCCTTCAGCTCTAGTCATGACCCCAGGTCCTGAGGCCTGGCTCCCTGCCCCTCCCTTGAGCCTTCCCCATGCTCATGCTCTTACTCAAATGAATAAATCTTAAACCCCAAAAAGCAGAGAAGAGTGGCCTTGCCTGATGTCAAGCAGCTAGTAAGTGGCAGAGCCAGAATTCAAACCCCACTGCTGGATGCTGAAGTTTTACTCTCCTGGTTTTCAGTTTTGCAAATAGAGTCGGCAAGGAGTAAATTATGTTTTTTTTTTTTTAATCATTGGGATTATTTTCAGGAGAATAATTACAAGGTCAAAGCATAGGACCACTTTCAGAAATCTTGATGTATTAGTTGTCAAAATTTGCCCCCAAAGAGGGTGCATCAACTTATGTGAGGCCAGCAGCAGTGAAACAGCTTCACTGTTAAATGGAGTCGCTCCTTCTAAACACCGCTTCACCTTAGAAAGGGCCCCTGTCCTGGCCTCAGCCCTCCCTTCTCCCTGCTGGTCAGCCCACCACAGAATTTTGTGATGAGCTCTTTAGGGTTTTAACTAGGATTGCATTGAACTTATGAATCACTTTTCATAAAGTTAAGTCTTCTAATCTGTGGTCATGGTCTATTTTGCCACTTACTGAGGCCTCTAGTTCATAATGGAGTTGTTGGTTTTTTTTTTTTAAGATTTTATTTATTTATTCATGAGAGAGAGACAGAGACAGGCAGAGGGAGAAGCAGGCTCCTTGCAGGAGCCTGATGTGGGACTCGATCCCAGGTCTCCAGGATCACACCCCAGGCTGAAGGTGATAAACTGCTGTGCCACCTGGGCTGCCTGTTTTGTTTTAATTAAGCTCTAGGCCCAATATGGGGCCTGAACTCAAGATCCCAAGATTAAGAGTCACATGGTCGGGGCAGCCCTGGTGGCTCAGTGGTTTAGCGCCGCCTTCAGCCCAGGGTGTGATCCTGGAGACCCAGGATGTGATCCTGGAGACCCAGGATCAAGTCCCACGTCAGGCTCCCTGCATGGAGCCTGCTTCTCCCTCTGCCTGTGTGTCTCTGCCTCTCTCTCTCTGTTTCTCATGAATAAATAAATAAAATCTTAAAAAAAAAAAAGTCACATGGTCTTCCCAATGAGCCATCGAGGCGCCCCCACAATGGAGTTTTCATTTTCATTTCTCCAAAGAGATCTTGGACTTCATTAACATGCGTATGTTTGAAAAAAGAAAAAAAAGAAAGATGCGTATGTTTGAGGGGTGCCTAAGTGGCTCAGTCAGTTGAGTGTCTAACTCTTGATTTGGGCTCAGGTCATGATCTCAAGGTCCTAGGATGGAGCTCCCGGGCTCAGCAGGGAGCCTGCTTCTCCCTTTCCTTCTGCCCCTCCCCCCACTGATGCGAGCTCTAAAAAAAAATAAAATCTTTTTTAAGAAGATGCCTATGTTTGATGTCCTTGTAAATGGCTTGTTCTTCATTTTCTAATTGTTGTAGCTAGAATATTTTAGATGGAGGGATTTTTTTTTTGCATACTGATTTTTATGCCCGGCAACCTTGCTAAACTGTTGTGTTCTGATAACTTCTCCGTTAATTCGTTGACTTTTCCTGTCATCTGTAAATAATGCCAGTTTTGTTTCTTCCTTTCGAATCTTTATACCTTCTTTTTTCCTTTGCCTTAGAGCCTTGACCAGGACCTCCAGTACCATTTGACCCACGCTGGACGTGGTGACAATGGGCCTCTTTGTCGTGTGTCCGTGCTCACAGGAGAGCCTTCAGCGCCCCAGCATTGCCTGTGATGTGTTGGGGGTTTGTAGCTGCCCTTTATCAGGGCGAGGAAGTCCCTTCTGCTCCTAGTTTGCTAAGGGCTCTTCTCATGAATGAGTCTCCAGTTTTATCTGCAACTGTAGAGAGGATGCTAGGACTTCTCCTTTTTTCTCTCAAGTAGTCTGTGATGCTGCCTTTTCCGTTTACCGAAGCAGCCTTGCACTCCTGGGAGAAACCCAATGTGACGGCATTGTATTATCCTTTTTAGGTATTGCCAGGTCCAGTTTGTTACTCATGTAGGACTGTTGCATCTGTGCTCACCAATGAGATTGCCCTGTGCTTCTCTTTCTCACGTTTCCTCTATCAGATTTTGGTGTCAAGGTTATGATTGCCTCACAGACTAACTGGGCAGTTCCCTCTTTGTGTTCTGAGTTAACCTAAGGCCCGAGCCCTTTGTTCCCTAAAGGCTGTGAAGGGGCGGCTGGGTGGCTAGGTTGACCGAGTTTCCAACTCTTGATTTCATTTCAGGTCATGATCCCACGGTTGTGAGGTCCAGCTCTGCATTGGGCTCCATGCTCAGTGGCTGGGGAACTGCAAAGCTGCCATATCCTCAGCACCTGCCTTTCTCACTCCTTCCCTGGGTGTGGTGGAGAGCCTCCTAGATCTCTTCAGGGCAGCAGGTGATTCATTTTGGAGATGGAAGGAATCTGTCCTGCATTGGGAATAAACTTATGATGCACATTTGGGGGGAAAAAAAAATCAGTGGGGAGGCTGCTTGAGATTCTCCCTCTCTCTCTGCCCCTCTCACCCCATTCCCTCTTGCTCACTCTCCCTCAAACAAATAAATCTTGAAACGCGTATGAGGAGACATCTGGGTGGCTTAGTGGTTGAGCATCTGCCTTTGGCTCAGGTTGTGATCCCAGGGTCATGGGATCGAGTCCCACATCGGGCTCTCCGCAGGGAGCCTGCTTCTCCCTCTGCCTGTGTCTCTGCCTCGCTCTCTTGTGTCTCTCATGAATAAATAAATAAAATCTTTAAAAAAAAAAAAAAAGCCTGTGAGAACCCCAGGTGGGACCATCTGGGCCTGCTGTCTGCTCTGTGGGAAGGTCAGCTCCTGGGCAGCTTTCTCTTCCAGAAATCATAGCCCTTACTTCCCAACCTGTCAGACCACACAGACTCCCACCAGACCGTGTGCGACGGTCAGGGTCACGCCCAGGCCTCCCTAGGGAGTCTTCCTGAAGCTCGTCTGTGATCTGAGCTCTCTCCTGCTCCAGAGAGCCCACTGGCCCCCAAGTCCAGGTCTGCAGCAGGACACTCTGGGCCTGGTCAGTGGCCGTACCACCTGCACCCCCCCACCCTGCTTCAGCTGCGCCCTGCAGAGCCTGTGGCACACCAGGGCTTCCTCCACACAGATCGCTACACAGGCTGTCCCACCAGACCCTTCGTGTACCTGATGCATGCCACCTCTTCCAGCGAGTCTGCCTTCCCTTTAGCTCCGGATCCCCTTTCTCCTATGGCTCTGTGTCTGCCTGTTACCACAATCACTGCATCTGAGTATTCTGTACTCCAGTGAGTGTTCTGATCGTTCACTTAGTCACCAGATACGTCCTGGGCACTAGGCACTGTGCTAGGTGCCTACGGTCGATGGGTTCCAGCCACTCTGGAGTTGTCCAGTGAGTGGGAAATAAAATAGCTTGGACTCTATAGGTCAACATAAAACCCCACAAAACTAAATCACCTAGAATCTCACAGTTCATGTATTAGCACATTTCTTTCTGGCTTTAAAAAATGCTTGTAATAGCATATCTGAGTAGGTAGGTACTAGCTTGTTTTACAGATGAGCAAAGCGAGGCATGAGCACGCAAGCCAAAGGTCACAGGAATGGCTTGGTCAGGACTTTTTTTTTTTTTTTAAGATTTTTATTTATTCATAGAGACACACAGAGACAGAGAGTGGCAGAGACACAGGCAGAGGGAGAAGCAGGCTCCGTGCAGGGAGCCCGATGTGGGACTTGATTCCAGGACCCCAGGATCATGCCCTGGGCTGCAGGTGGCACTGAATCGCTGCACCGCCGTGGCTGCCCTTTTTTTTTTTTTTTAAAGATTTTATTTATTCATGAGAGAGAGTCAGAGACGCAGGCAGAGGGAGAAGCAGGCTCCCTGCAGGGGAGCCCGATGTGGGACTCAATCCCAGGACCCCAGGATCATGCCCTGAGCTGAAGGCAGACGCTCAATTGCTGAGACACTCAGGCGTCCCAAGGGTCAGTACTTTTACTCAGGCAGCCTGGCTGTGAGCCCCTGACCTTACTCCACTCCCTATCTTTTAAAAAATATAATGGGTAGAGCTGTGTGTCCCTGCTGGAGGCCCTAAATTTTCACTTCTCTTACTACATACATCTTAGGTTGAGAACACAGAAATGTGCATTCTGTCCCCTAACCTGGTATCACCCCAGGCCTGTTCTACCCTCTGCCTTCACAGCCTGTGCTGGGGACAGACTCCACTGGGGAGTCCGAAGGCCTGAGCTCTTGTGGCCTTGATATCAACTAGCTGTGTGACCTCAGACTAGTCACTTGGCCTCTCTGGGCCTCAGTCTACACATCTGTAACAGCGCTGGGATTCAGTCACACTCCTGTGGGAGTGAAGAACCCTCTGTTTAGGGAGCTGAGTCCCCTGGAACTCTACCTGGTGCAGAACCCAGAGCTCTGCAGCTTTGGGCAGATGGGGAGAGGGGCTGGGGCTGTGCTGGGTGCTCCGTGGGACATCTGGGGACCTCTGCCCCCTTTCCCACCTGGCCGCCTCACCTGTATCCCCACGAGGTGTAAGAGTAACCCCGAGGATGTGCTCAGAACACCGGGTATGCTGTGGCCAGCATGCCAGGCCTGTCCGGGTCTCTGCTCCGTGGGCTGGGCGGCCAGTCCTTCGATGGTCCTGTCCCCAGCAGCGTGCCCCTGCTCCCCGCCTGCTGGTTCACACCCCACCCCCGTGACTTGTCCTCTCTCTAGACAAGGCACCTTTGACCTTTGCATGCCATGGGCCCCTGAGTCCATCTGGAGAAGAGTATGGGCTGCTCAGAACAATATTTTTATTTTTATTCAGTTTTTAAGCGCATTAATTAATTTTAGTCCTCTCTACCCCAAACGTGGGGCTCAAACTCACGACCCCGAGGTCAAGAGTTGCACGCCCTT